CTGCAGAACGGGCATCGCATGCTTCAAAGCAAGCAGCCTGTCTGCGCACAACAACCCAAATAATCGAAATTTAAGATCGGAGAAGAGTGGGAAGGTGTACAGATTAGATACTGAACTCTTGAAATTTTACTACGTGTTACTCAGCTTGAAGTAGATGGGTCTTGTGTAATAATGGTAGGGGGAGAAACAAGGATGAAGATCACAAGTGTCTCGGCTATAACAGCACGCTACACAATTCTCTGTATGTGTTTTTGCCGTCACCATCTTTCAGAGTAAAGAACTAGCAAATTGCTTCTACTTGTCTAGGATTATAGCGTCTTTAACTTAAAATGGAGTCTGCGCTTCTGTGTGGATGAAAACAGCAAGGTGAAATGAGCCAAAAAATGCTTCTTATTTTAATAGTATTTTGAGAAGTACGACATAGGCTAGTGTTTCGGATAGCCATGCTCAGAAGTAATTCTGTAAGTGTGAGAGCATCAGCCTTCGCTTTGCGCTTCTGTGTAAAAATGGCTGTCTGCATCAGCGCTGCTTTCTGATTATTTATTTTTAGAAATCGTGATCCTTAATTCCTAAGCACAGTAACGCATGCTTAAGTAAGTATCAGCTTTTTTTGATTGGGAGACATGTCGTCTTTTTTTAACTATACTGTTTAGTGTTTATCCAGTTTAATGACTGATGGCCCGATTCTGGCAGTGGTGTAAGATTGTATGTGCACATTTATAATATTAAAGGTTAGATTTTGAAAACACTGTCAAAATCATCTTATGCAGCCTGGTTCTAGACATCGGCTCTGACCTATAATCAGGCTCGTTAGTTTAATTACAGAATGTAGCAGTTCACAGATGCGGAGGATATCATATCCTATCTGGGTGTGTATATCCTAGCTGAATTCAGTGGGGGAAGTGAAAACACTCCGTTATCTCTGCACCTAACATACAGTAGCAGAGGAACTGGTCTGAGATTGAAATGAGAGCCTTCATTGTTAAAGGGCTTTATCTGCTTTTTTTCACTTGGTTAATAATCATAATTTTCTATCTGGTCTCTGTTGAAAGCTTAAATAGCTGATAATTTTTAAAATTAAGTCTAAATTATCTTACTGCGGCCTTTAAACTATCCTGAAATACCTTTCTGTAGTGTCCTAAGGACACTTACTTTAATTAACTATCTCCCCACACAGTGCGTCTTCTACCTGCTCAGTTTTGTAGAAGGCTTATGCAAAAGATTGTGGATGATCAATGAAAGGTCAATGGATTATGGACTACCAAAAGTACAGCTCACAACTTTGGCAGTTGACAGGTACCTGCTTCTGAATTGGGGACAGCAAACTCGCTATGCTTTGAGTATGTTCGTATTAACAGGTGCTCAACTTGTAGCTGGTTTCTGTACAGCGTTGTGTTGTCTTGAGTTGGGTGATCGTTTGCTATAAATATGGTGCTTTCATTTTATGATGATGAGCAGGTTAATGTTTCCTCTAGTCCTAGAGGTAAATTTCCAGCTTTCCTACTGGATTTCCATTAAATTACATTAAATACTAGGTTTTAAGGTCAAGTGTAATTTTAAAGCCTCGAGGCTTGATATTAGGTAAGAGAAGTGAAGTGGGGTTTTTGTATGCGACAGTATTTAGTAACTTTTAAGGGATTTTGTCAGGATGATGAGAAGATTCCCCAGATTGCTCTGGGCAGTATTTTATTTCTTACTACACATTCTAAATGGTTAGTAAACCAGAACAGGGAATTGGGAAGCGTCAGTTAATGTTTACGTG